GTTGTAACTTCACTTGAAGCATTTGAAACGATTTGTAAAGTGTTGGGATTTGTACAACTCTCATAGCCACCTTTGGTAATTAGAGACAATATGGAAGTGATTTTCTTCTCCAGTAGAAGTGTTATTTCTTGCTTCAAAATGAGCAAGAACTGTTCAAATTTGAAAGATGTAGGTTAGAATTAGAGGATGAGTTTTAGCTAGGGCAAATAATCTCATAGGCATGCCTAGTGCATCAAAGAAAAGCACAGATCCTCTGAGCAGAAAGAATATTGGTAACGTTACTGCAAAGAGCCTGGGAAAACTCAAAAGAGCATGAGGTATGTTTCTGGATGAAGATGTAACATAGTGTTCATAAATCTAGCTGAGGGTGGAAGGGAATCCACCCTTTGGTGTCTATCACATGGTTGGGCATGCTTTTTCTAGCTCCCAAGGTGAGGGAGCCAGTGTAACCTTAATTCAGATTTCTTGTGCACATGCATTTTCAGGCAATCGTGGTTTGGTCAACCGCTCACCCCAGCCTCTAGAGTCCTTATTTTATATGATGTGTAAACTAAGGGTGTTCAGTTTTAAAGAAGTTATTTGGCATTTTGTGTATTCTATGTTTTTCCTCATGTCGTGGCCCCTGATTTTATTTATTGTACACTATTTGAAAACTTTTCTAAAAAAAAAGTAAGAGGCTCTTTTAAGGTGCTTTTTAATGTAGTGTCTGAGTCTCCACAGTTATCAAAGGCCATGTTCTCAAACTCATTTATGCATGTATTATATCCATTTTACAGATGGAAATCTGAGGTACAGCAATAGTAATGCCAGAAATAGCTGCAGGTTTGACATGCAGTACCTAAACTTTAAGGTACCTCTACAGCGTACTATAGGTTCAATGCACACATTTGTGTGCTTTACATCTTTGCAAGTCAGATGCTGAGCTCTAAAGAAAATTAAAGCACTTTATTGGTGTCTGATTTGTTAGAAATATTGGTTAGAGCAGTCATCTAATATCTTACAGGTTGCAGGGAGTCTGATACACTGGGGGCTTCGATCAGGCTTCCCATAGTCCTTTTTGTTACAGAAGTCTTTCAACTTATTTGAAAAATTACCTAAGCCGGATTGCTTTAATGCAAAATTCAGATTCATCCCTAGAGCAGATCTCTTATAATCAATGAAGCATTTCTAGAGAAAAAAATAGTATGTGGTTGTGTTACCAAAACCTGTGTTGTTATGTACATTCACAATGATAGTAGTGACTGCTGGGCCATTTGCTTGCTCTCCGCTTGCTGATTTGAACCCAGAACTAGGCAGCACACAGCCGGCTGAGCTGAGCTGCTGGGTAGGGAGGAACTTTTGGCCAGTTAGCTGGGAAAAAAAACTAATACAACTCTGCCAGGCATGTGCAAACAGCATTTTTGAAGAGATTTATAAATTATCCAGATTTGAGAGGATTTTTCTTAGAAGTAGCAAAATGCACATCCTTTATTTGAAGATTATGGCTTGCTAAATTTCAAAGTTCTTCTCCAGTTTCTCTTGGGATCCCAGAGTTTCTCAAAGAAAAGATTGCCAGAACTTGTCAAAACAAGGCATTTTTCTCTTAGCCTCAGTCTCCCAGATAGCTCAACTGCATTTGCTGACATTTTCTTTGAAAGAAATCAAGCTGAGGCTGACATCCAACAAGAAAAAAAGCAGATTTTGCCGATGTTTTAAGTAGCTAAAATGTGGTTTTAAAAGGGAAGTGGTGTCAGGCATTAATAAACTGCGGTAGTAACCTGAGCTCTCATAAACTCTGTAGGATGTTTGAAAAAGAGAAAAGTAAATGAAAGATAAAATTAAAATGAAAGATGAATCTTAGCCAGTATATTAAAAGCCTATATTAAATCCTTTAGGTACAGTTTGACAGTGAATATTGTTTTGATGAGGAGTAGGAGGAACAAGAGCAAAAATCACAGTGAAAATTTGGTGCAGACTCCCGAGAATGGGTTTTCAATCTCAAGGTGATGCGTATCTAATTTTACCAGATTTGTTTGTCATTCATTTGCTAGTTTAAAGCAGAAGTTAATATGAATAATCAAGATTTTTTTCCAAATTACAAATAAGGCATCTTTGTTATCCCAAAATGATATTAACTCATCTGATAGTAACTATATTATCTAGATACAGGCAAAGGGGCTGAAAAGATAGGCACAGTAAGTGCTGAAAGATACCAGATTTAGTTGCATGAACAAGTTAAAACAACTCTGGACAATGCACTAAGATAAGCACAGAACAACAATCTTCATTACCAAAAGGCTGGCTGATACAATCTGTTTTGTTGGGTTTTTCCATTTTTACTATGTATTTTCAAAAGGTTGATACACAACATTATGTCAAGTATGAATCAGCTTCTCTAATAGTCCTTAGAAAAATGCCATACAGGAAAGAAAGAGGTTTGGAATATTTCAGTTTTTTACAGACATACTGAATATTAGCAGAAATTTTGGGGTATGAAAGCCTCCAAATTTAGAAAACATCTTGAGCACCTAAAAAAAATCCAGACAAATATAGTGATGACTCTGAAAGGTCAGTAGTGGAGGTGTCAAAATAATCTTCTGTGTATCTTACAAGATGGCCGTGAGCATTCCCAGAACCTACTAATAATCCGCTGGTGAGTGAGGTGTGATAAGTGTGAAACACCACAGAGAAGCCATAATAGAAAGGAAACACAATCATAGTAATCTTTACCCGAAAACTGCAACTGTAGAGAACATGTTTATATTTTGTGAATCAGCTGAACTATTTCAGAATTTAGAAAATGCGAATCTTCTTACAGGGAAAAGTGAGCATGAAATTAAGTATCAAAAATTGAAATAGAATAAAGTAACAAACACGGAGAAACAGAATTAAACATTGATCTTGGTCATTGAAACTGATGGTCAAGTATTAATTGAAGCGAATGTCATACATTAGAAGTTCATGTTGCTTGTGAAAGTAACCAATATATCTCATTTTGAATCTGGCTTATGATTTATTTTTCCTTTTTTAAAGTATTTCTAATGAGGGCATTTTATCTTTTCTAAAACCTAATCACATTCAGTATTATGTATGTTTTTCTCCATCTTTAAGGTTATCAGTCTTAACGCTGTTAGGCAAGGTATATTCCCATGTGGTACATAGCATCTGATTAATGAATTTTAGCATCAGTGAATGTCCATATCACATTAGGCAGTGAAAAATACAGAAAGTATAAACGACTAGTGTTTCAGAGCTGTTTCTTAGATGAATGTGGGCAGCCTATAAGGTATGATATTATAATTGCTTAGATATTAAATTGTATTATTAAATCACTCCCGTGTATATTACCTGGAAATGTTGCAGAAGACATATTTATTTGTAGTCATTGCACTCAACAGTGGATAGTGCAGCACTGTAATAAACTCATGCCCTCTGAAATATGTTTATCTTGTCACTGAGCTAGCTTACTAATGTGATTTTCTACCTTTCACAAGATGAAGGTAATGCTTGCTGCAGTTGCTATGATACAAGACTAGTGCACTGAACTTTCTGGGGATTCAGCACACATTTGGTATCATGCAGTTCACTGTCGCTGCTGTTATGACTTTCTAAAGCCTGCCATGAACAAGTGGACAAGAATTTAGTCTCCCAAATCACCACGTGTAAAATAAGGACTCATAGATATTTTCCTTGTTTGCTCTGAATGACTATTAGCAATAGTACTCAGCTTTAGCTAGGCTGTGGGTTTGAATTTTAGATTTTTTGCAAGGAATTGTAGCATGGACCTAAAAGGCAGCTCCTAACGTAGTCTACAGCAAAACAAGGGTATTATGTACTCTTTCTTGTGTTTTGAACTTTACTAGCATGCATGAACTTTTTACCTAGCTTTGTCTCTCCAGAAGTTATGTGTCTAGAATAGGCTTTATCAGCCCTCTCCTCCTAGGAGAGGGAAAGATACAAAGAGGCACCTTCTGTGGGCAGTTCATCCCGCAAACCTCAGATACTTTAAGACAGGATGAATTGCCTCCTACAGGAGACTGCTTCTTTCTACTGGTTAGAGAAGGCACCTAGATAGATAGCTTAAATGAGATATCTAAATAGCTAAAACTATAGGAGCTTAATCCCATGGCAAGTGATAAGGTGAATATTTTTTCAGGCTCTGTGGCCTGGGAGTAGTCCAAAATAAGATTAACAGGTGGAGATGCAGCAAAACTGGGAGTATATGGCTCTATATGGCAATAAGCTAAGAGTCGTAAGGTAAACACCATGGAGAAGCAATTATGTAGAGAAAGGTCTGAGAAACACTGATCAACCTCCTTTCTGTGAAAAAGCAAGGCTTTTATGAGAGTAGGTAAATGACATTTCTATAAAAGTAGCCTTTCTCTCATTTGCATCTTCTGCTTTGATCTCCCAAAGCAGAAGAGTTGACAGCCTGTGTTTCTTGAGAGATGTATAACGTGTTCTCTGTCAACTCTGGTGACTGTATTGTCAGGGAATCCTATTTTGATGACATTGCACCCGCTAGACAAAGGCTGAAGACAAGAAAATAAAACTTTCGGAAATACTGGCTTCCTGCTGACAGTTGATTAGGGTGCAGAAGAGACACTCCTTTTATTTTTCTGTAGCCTGGAAATCCATCAGTTGCTCTCCAAGCTATTAATAATGCTTTGGCTAGCAATACCAAGTGGGTTTAATGGATTTCCCTGCCATTGTACTGAATGTGATTGCAATGAAGCATGAAACAACCTGTTTTAATGACTTACAGCAGCGCTTACTTAGACCTGATGTTAATTTTTTAAAAGACACCTGGGTCTTTCATTAATTGAACAAGCAACCACTTGACAGTGAGTGAATAGTTAATTAAAAAGTCTAAAAACTAATATTCATTGTACATTAGGACATATTACTGAAAATTTTCTAGTAAACCTCTTGAAGAATGAGTAATCACATCTATAGATTTTGAGATGCTTTCTGCCTATTGACACACAGTATGTAAAGTAGATGTCCTTTTTTCTCTGCAGCTGGGATGACAGCAGCTCAGTTAGTAGCGGCCTCAGTGACACTCTTGACAACCTCAGCACGGATGATTTGAACACCACCTCATCTGTCAGCTCTTATTCCAATATAACTGCCTCTTCAAGGAAGAACACTCACACCCAGGTGCGTAACTTTTAATTGCCATTTCTTGCAATGTCCCAGAAACATGCAGGGTAACAGGAAAAAAACGTTTAGTAATAATGCCTCTGAAATGAAATATCTGTATTTTACAAGTTCCTCTATCACGTTTGTGTGCAAGGAGCCCATGCACCCCACCAAGCAGGGCCCAACCCTGACCTGTGGGCTGAGGTCTCGGATGCCCTGCTCCCAGGGCACATCCCATGGCCAAAGATGCTGGCCAGCGAGACCCTACTCTGCCTGCCCTGAGGAAGCCCCCACTGGTCCCAGCCCCAGGAAGCCTCAGCCCCTGCTGCACCCTAACACAAAAACCACAATATGACTGGATCTGTGAAGGGTGGATTTCTACCCGCTTCATCCCATTTGGAGTGAGTATCTCTTTGAACAGATAGCACAATTTAAAATAAGATAGTTTTCATCTTTCATGAGCTGACACATGTCAAGGAAGAAATATATAGGCTGTACTGTCATTTTCCTGTTCTCTCTGCTGGGAGAAAAGAGGCTGAAGGGACAAGCCCACAGGTGACAGAGCTTCTCTTCTCCCCAGTTAGGTCCGGGAATGAAAGTGTCCCTTGGGACAACAAGCTCACAATGCATAGCATCAAAATAGAGTTCTGAGCAGCGTACAGGCACAAGCTATGTATATAATACATATATATGTGTGCATGTGTATATATATATATACACATATACATATATAAAGCCCTTGTGACAGGTATCCCAGTGTTTCTTCCCAGCTCCCCTCAAAACTGCAAGTGGTGAAAAAGATGATACAGAATGCTTGCAGGACTCGGTTCTCCCCAAAAAAGAAAGAAAAACAGAAGAGTTAGTCCCGACAGAAAAGTATTCTTTGCCATGTCATCTCCTGTTTATAAGCAGGGAACT